GCCAGGCTGGAGCAACCTGGTCTAGCAGGAGGTATCCCTGCCCATGGTGGGGGGTGGAAGGAGAAGATCTTTGGGGTCCTTTCAATCCAACCCATTCCATGAGTCCATGACTCTGTAATGTTATCATTCCTGCTCCCAAATTCTGGATTAAGGAACAGTGGCTGACTTCACTCCCAGCTAAGACATTCCAGGTGGTTATGAAGTCTGAACCTCAGCCTATTGTAAGGATTTGTATTTCCCCCCACCCTGTACAGAGAGAAGTGTTGCAAACCCTCAGCCAGAGAAATTAAAACTAAAAATTCTTTTGGTTTTTTTGCAGAACAGAATCACTTTAATGAGAAAAAAGCATTCACAGAAAACCATTGCAGAGTATGAAGAACATCAGATCAGAGGCAACTCCTTCTGGGGTTGCTCTTCTCCGGTTGGACAGTGAAGCTGCATTTTAGAAGAAGATAAACTATTTTTTCATCCCACGTATTACGCACACACAGTCAAGAAAAAAGCCCAGAAGAAAACAAGTAGAAGGTGAACGAATCAAGGAGGAGTTGTGTGCTTCCAGCTCCACTTGAGTGGGGTGGCCATGGTCACAACACCTCCTCTGGGGCCAGGATTGTATCTCTCCGTTGCTGGCGATTCCGTACTTTGGGATGTTTCCGTAGGGTTTAGCAGGAGCCCCAGTAGCCACGGCCATAGCGGCCGTACCAGGAGGAGTAGGGGCTGCAATAGCCAGAGCCAAAGAGTCTGCCAGAGCCATACAGACCCCGGTAGCCCCCACAGGACCCCAGACCCCCATAGCCCCACAGACCCCCGTAGCCCAGGGATCCATTAGCCCCATATCCATACAGACCCCCATAGCCCAGGGAGCCGTAACCCCCATATCCATAGAGACCCCCATAGCCCAGGGATCCATAACCCCCATAGCCCAGGGAGGTGCCAGAGGCTGCAAGGACCGGAGCTCCAGCAGATCCCACCACGGAATCCTGAGGGAAGGAGCTGAGGATGGGGCCGGGGAAGGTGACCACCACGGCGGGAGGCTGGATCACGGTGGTGGAGTCGGGGCACTGGCGGACGCACGGCTCGTTCCCGCTGTCAGCCAGGGGCTGGGGCCGGAGGGCGCCGCAGGCGGCGGAGGGGTACAGGTCATAGCAGGACATCTTGTAGGGGTTGGAGGTCAACACAGGCTAAAAAAGAAGGCAAGGAGTTCAAAATTAGGAAATTTAAATTAAAATAACAAGTAGAGTGTTCTGAGTACTTTGCAATCTCAGTGCTCTCTTTTATTCAGAAAGAATTTTCAAAATTTTTTCACAATTTTTCAAAAATTTTCTAAAGGGTGCCCACACACGAGAGCAAGTGGGAAATGTCCTAAAAACCTTGTCTCTTGTAACATCCTGCAGAAAACTATGAATGATTTCTCCACATTAAACTGAAATCTGGGAAGCAAAAGCAGCGAGAGCAAAGTGACTTTGTCCAAGGTCATTGGATGAGTCATTAGGAAAACTCAGATTTGGGTTCAGCAGGTTTGCATGAGATGGAGCTTACAGAGAACTTAATTACAGTAGCTTCATCTTCCCACTCATCCCAATTTTGCTGAGAGTCAAGGGAACAACAGATTATAGGATTGTGAGCGCCCGGCTTTCCCAGAAAAGCATTTGACAAGACAATAAAGAACAAATCTCCAAGGGTGTTCTTTAAATCCTTAACAGAGTTCTGAGGAGGAACTTGAAAGCAAGAAGGTGAAGGAGAGCCTGAGGATTTGTGTTAGCAAGACACAAATGGCTTTATCACATGTGAACGGCTGCAGGGGTGGCACCCTCGTCAAACCCTGAACCTTTTATGCAAATGTTGAGATGGGTTAAACGTATCAAAATGAGGATCAGAGAATCACAGGCTTCCTCAAGCTGGAAGTGACTCAAAAGGCTCAAATCCAACTCTCAGCTCTTTGCAGGGTTATTTAGAGCTAAACAGAGAACCTTGGAATTGCCTGGTTTGGAAGAGACCTTTAAGATCATCCAGCCCCAGCCCCTCCATGGGCAGGGACAGCTCCCACTATTCCAGGTTGCTCCAAGCCTCATCCCAACTGACTCTCGACACTCCCAGGGCTGGAGAATCCTTGGAATATCCAGCATGGGGGCCTCCCCACCTTCACAGGGAAATATTTCTTCCCAATATCCAACCTAAATTTCCCCTCTCGGTCTGACCCCATTTCCTGTGTCCTGTCCCTGCAGCTCCTGAGGGAAGTTCCTCTCCAGCTTCCCTGGAACCCCTGCAGATCCTGAGGTCTCCCCAGAACCTCCTCTCCTCCTGGCTGAACATTCCCAGCTCTCCCAGCTTGGCTCTATAGGGGAGGGGATCCAGTCACCTCAGTTGACCCAGAGCACTGTCCGTTTGCCCCAAGGTCTGGAGTTCCTGACACCAAGAACTCCACACACCAAAAAGACAGAAAGGTCCTTGATCTTTCCAAAGTCCACGCAGATTCACCCAACAGAAAGGATGTTGGACATCAACTGGAGTTGAAACCAACAATAAAAAATACACCAAGAGCAACAGAGAAGATTCAGACTTACCCAAGTCTCCAAGAAGTCAAGGGAAGCGTTTGGAGGAGCGAGGAGAGAGAGGAGCTTTTATATCAGCTGGAGGTACCTGATCAGCATCTCTTGCCCGCCCCAATTTCAAATTCATGCAACCATCAGGATGATGAAATTGTTGGGTTCATTATTGGCTTTTATGAGGCCTTTCAAATTTGTTTGTAATAATGATCTAAGCATCACCTGAGATTATAGAGAATTCTTTCATCTTGTGACGAACTGGGGGGAGATTAACACCCCGCATTATTCCTGTCACTTCCTTGGAATTACATCAGGAATCACCAAGCCAGCTCCTCTTGATATGAACTGAATACCTGGAGAGTGGCTCATGGGTTCATCAGAGTCACAAATTCCACCAGAATTTAGTTCTAAGCAGGAAAAACATTGAAATCCTTCATTTTGGCCATGTCCACAGAGTTCCGTGGAGGAGACGGAGAGGAACGTTTCTCTTCCTGATGCTTGTTTGGGTTTGGGAGATAAACATGGAATGAATTCATGAAGTTAACGAAAACCACAAAGGGATTGGAGGTCCTGAAGAGACTTTTCCCAAGTGTTGAGGGTCCGATGTTTTCTGGACAAAGGTGGCGCCTGAGAGCCTTGAATGGGCCTGAGGAAACATGGGATTTTTTAGGAAAAAATGGATCCTCTGGTGCAAAAGTCAAAATGTGATGCAATGCTTTGAATTATTGCCTCGTGTTCTTAGGAATTCATGAGCTTCTATGATACACAAGTCATAAATCCCAAAAAGGGCTGAGCTGGAAATTTCTGGGGTGAAGGAACAATCAGGAATTTGGAATGTGCGACACAAAGGCTCCTTCTTGCCTCGTTTATGGGTGGGCCATTTTAATATTGCAGACTCCATGCCAAAGGTGATCCCTAAATGTTGAGGTGGGGTTCTCAGCCTTTGGGGGGCAGGGGCTTTTGAACAATAATATTTTCAAGCTTCCAGGGAGCAAGTCCATGCAAATCCTATTGATGATCCAGTAGATTAAAGGCACAGAGCTGGATTTAGGCGCCTCACAATTATGAAATGACATCACATTCAAACATCTCAGTCAAGATATTTGTGTCCTTGGTATCATCAGTTCAAGGGCAAATACTGGAGGTTTATGCCCCCTCAGGTTTTTTCCCAATGAAAAAGAATTTGAAATAAAACTTTCTGAATAAAACCCAGAAATCCGTGAACCATATTTTATTCAAAAACAATTCCAAGGATAGGGCAACCACAGGCTCTGGTCCCAGGGAACAAGGGACAGGAAAACAGGGAATGACCTTGGGTCAGTAACAGCTTGGACTTGATGGTCTTGGACGTCATTTCCAACCCAAATAATTCCAAGATTCTGTTAGAAAAATCTTTTAAGGACCACAGGATGATTTCCATGCCTTCCTTTGAGTTCCATATTGTTCTCGCATTAAGCAGAGAGTAATAATAATAAAAATTACCACCCCAAAGTTGCTCTAAATCATTTTTTCTCCAGGTATTTTGTTTTTTTAATGGAAAAAAACTCCAAGCATGAGGTGACCCCAAGCGAGCAGACAGGTTTTGCCATTAAACAATGGAGAAGCTCTGGAAGAGCGTTGGGATAATTCCTGCTGTAACGCCAGGGCTGTGAATGGAATGATAACAGGAATGAAGATGACTTGTCACCATTCCAGATGAAAGAGGGCTCAGTGATGAAACACACCTATCACATTTCACGAGACTTCGGACCAGCAAATAAACAAAGAGTCAGCAGAACTTTGAGGAGCTACGTGTCGCATTCATTTGGCGTTTATCCCAATTATGGACATCCCCAAATTGCACCTTAGATGTTCCCCAGGATCTTGGGAATGGTATAAAAGCTCTCCCAACCCGGGGCTCTTCACTTCGCCTTCCTCGCTTCAATCAGCTCCTTGAGAAAGGTAAGCACCATTCTAAGGGATCTCTTCCCTTGGAAATTTTCCCTTGGAAAATTCCAGTCTCTCTTTTCTGCTGGTCTTAATCAAGGTTGGGATCATCCATGAGGATTCTAAGATTCTTAATAATTGGGCTATTTTGTGATGGTTTTCTTTTCAGTTGGTGCTGGACATTCATAAGTTCAAAATGATAAAATCATTCTTTGTTCTTAGTAGAAATTAGAAAAATTTAGAATTAGAAACCAAAGCAGCATCCAAAACCTTGCAGAAGGTTTGTTCACCCAATATGAATTTTCTATGGGTGGGAATGAAGTACAAGAAATTAAGAATGAGACCCCAGGAGAGATGACAGCTCAGAGAGCGAGTAATTTACAAAAACACTGATGAGAATGAAGGACAACCAAGACTTGAGACATAACAAGTCTTTTCATCCACATGTCCAGCTGTGAAATATTTTAACCATTGAATTTCTGCCTTTTGCTCACTCCTCAGTACCCACCGACCTCCAACCCCTACAAGATGTCCTGCTATGACCTGTACCCCTCCGCTGCCTGCGGCGCCCTCCGGCCTCAGCCCCTGGCTGACAGCGGGAACGAGCCGTGCGTCCGTCAGTGCCCCGACTCCACCACCGTGATCCAGCCTCCCGCCGTGGTGGTCACCTTCCCCGGCCCCATCCTCAGCTCCTTCCCTCAGGATTCCGTGGTGGGATCTGCTGGAGCTCCGGTCCTTGCAGCCTCTGGCACCTCCCTGGGCTATGGGGGTTATGGATCCCTGGGCTATGGGGGTCTCTATGGATATGGGGGTTACGGCTCCCTGGGCTATGGGGGTCTGTATGGATATGGGGGTTATGGATCCCTGGGCTACGGGGGTCTGTGGGGCTATGGGGGTCTGGGGTCCTGTGGGGGCTACCGGGGTCTGTATGGCTCTGGCAGACTCTTTGGCTCTGGCTATTGCAGCCCCTACTCCTCCTGGTACGGCCGCTATGGCCGTGGCTACTGGGGCTCCTGCTAAACCCTGAGGAAAACCCTCTGGATGATGTAGAAGGGCAAAGTGAAATGCAGATTTTTCTTCCCTTTAAATTCTGTCCTGACACCTCCATGAGTTCAATTCCTTGTTATCTTCTTTATCACCCCTGTGGCTGAATGCAGTGACAGACTGAAGCGTCTTTCAAGCTCTGCCTGTATTTACAGTCCTGATGTTACCATGTTGTTTGTGTTCTTTTCATTCTTATTAAAACTATTGCATCACCGAAAATCCTCGTGTTGGGCTTTTGTGTCCTCACCCACCCTCAGTTTGCCAACCTCTGCTGGGTAAAGCTCCCTGCTCTGCATGAGGCTGCAAAAACATTGAGCAAACCCTGCCCAGAGGGGAAAGTCTCCATGGGGCCGTTTTTACCCATGAATTTACAATTTCAGTAAATTTACATTTATGGAACTACGATGTGGTCACAGCATGGTGGCCAAAGGTGATCAGAAGTTTCCTCTACATGTTGAGCGCCCTGTGTGCAGAGGGAACTTCTTTAAATCCACATCAAGAACATCATGAGTGGTCATGGAATCACTGAATTGGGTTGGAAGAGCCTTGAAGATTGTCAAGACCATGTGTTTAATTTATTTATATGTTAAATAGAAATGGAATTTTGTCCATATTTTATAAGTAGCCTAAAACCCAGCAAAAGCACTGCACCATAAATGTCATTATCTTCTTATGTCATCAGCAAAGCACAAAGCCACCTCCTGATTCAGGCAGATCCTTATCTCACAGGGAGTTTTCCTCATCTGGTTCAGCTGCCAAAAGATCTCAGGGTACACATTTTCCCGCAGCAAAAAGATTTGTCGAACATCACCATGTTTAGAGAAAATCTGACCAGAAAACCAAAGGGAAAACTTGAATTAAAAAAGGCAAAAGCTGCTGCAAAATTGAATGACTCCCAGCAGAACCCAGAGATTCCCCAAATGACAGGCGGAGTTGATGTTCTGTGTCCTGCCAGGACCTGAAAAATAAGTCTGAAAAATCTGTCTACCTCCTGCTAGGACCTGATAAATCAGTCAGAAAAATCTGTCTACCTCCTGCCAGGACCTGATAAATCTGCCAGAAAATCTGTGGTGGTGAAGAGCAGAGTAAGAAAAGCTCAAGTTACAAAAGGAGCCCTTAAGCAGGATTTAAGCCAGGCTCTAATGGAGATCCGCGGTGTTTCCAGAGGGAAGGGACAAAGGATCCCTTGATGACACTGAATGGTGGCTGAGCCACCACCCTCGGGTCAGGGCAATCCTTGAGTTGGTCATCAGGAAATGTGACAGTCATCAGGTGACACGAGTGTGGCTATCACCCAGCAGAACCTTCTGAAGGACAAGGGGAAAAGCTTGGAAATCTCATGGAAATGGGAAAATCCTGTGTCCAGCTCTGGGCCCCTCCTGTCAAGGGGAACACTGAGGAGCTGGAGAATGTCCCGGGATGGAAACGGGGCAGGAGCAGCTGGAAAAGGGAATGGAGAATCCTGAGGGAGCTGAGGGGGGGGCAAAGACTGGAGAAAAGGGAGATCCAGGGGGAATTTGGGATCTGCCAGAGGGGATTTGGGATCTGATCCCAGGGAACAGGGCCAGGACAAGAAGGAACGGCCTTGAGCTGGAAATTTTAGGAAATTCTTCCTGAAAAGGCTTTGGAAGGGGCTGCCCAGGGAGGGTTGGAGTGGCCACCCCTGGCAGTGTCCAAAGAATTCCTGTTCATTGGTCTGGATGACCAGGTGAGGGTGGTCCTAGCTGGACTCGGTGACCTCGGAGCTCTTTCCCAACTAAAATAACTCTGGAATTCTGTGAAACTCCAGGCAGTTTCGAGGAGGGGCTTTTGATACGTCCTCTGAGCTGCTGGAGACCGCGAGGCTCCCATTAGCGCGCTTATCACACCTGGGTCACCTCGCAGTGACGAAAGCGTTTTGCTCAATATTTCTGTTTATGAGTTGATTCAAATTCTGACGCTGCACGAAACGCAAATTACAACCCAAAGATTTCTTTCATCTCAGCACTTTAATTGGCCGAGATTCACGCCTGGTAACGTTCCATGAAATACATTCAGAATGACAGCGCAGATTCTGCTGCTTCGTTTATTCGCCTCTCATTATCTAGCATAATGATGCTGGCTCAGGTGTTAATCATCATTTTCATCTGCTTGAAGGTGCAAGATTTTTTTCTTTCTTCTTCACCCATGGTAGATAAAAAATTGATGAAAACCTCAGTGCCTTCCTTGTGAAATCAGCAGCTTTTATGTGTCGTTGGAATTTGAATTTGGACAAAACCATTCAGAACTTTTCAGAGGAAATGACAGATATTTTTTAAACCATCCAGATCTGTGTTTTGTCTCGCAGATGTTCAGGCTACAGAGAAAATGTGAGTTAAAACATCAGCACTGAAGAAGAAACTCACCCAAATAAATGAAAACTTAAATTAGATGAGAAAATCCACTGAGGTGAGAAGCCATGAGGTGGCGAAGGGAACAGAAAGAGTTCACTCGGACAATTTTTTTTTAATGTTTATTTTTTATTTTTAATAATAATTTTAAGACTAATTTGAATTACATTTCAAAATGCTGGGCTGTTAGAACACAACCACATATTTATATTGCAATTGTCACACCCCATTTCATGCATAAACTATTAAGGAGGGTTTGGGAATTGCTCAAAAACACACCCCAAAAATATTTGGACACCTTTTGAGGAAAATTATTCCTGTAATCCCCTGGGGACATCCAGAAGTTTGGGGGAAAGAACCTCCCAATTTCAGTGCAACTTTGGTAGGAATGTGTTTATTTAATAACTCATCCACAGCAAATGATGGGGTTTGAGGTGGGACCTGGCAATGTTCATCTGTGAAAAAAACACTAATATCCGTCCAGAAAAAAAAAACAAAAACCAACCGAAACAAACTAACCAAACTTTGATTTAAGCCCTGTTTTAGGTAGTAAAATATTGTGTTTTCTGCATTGAGGAAAATTGGGAATTCCCAATCCCAGCAGACAAATCCATGATTCCCACAATGACCTGAGGTTTGTGGCTGCGGGTGCAAAACCCACCGGGAGGCTCCTTGCACCTCTCCAAGGATTCCATTGCAAAATCTGCGAGCCAAGATCCAGAGCCGCAAATCCCAAACCTGTGCACGGCAGCAGGTTCTGACTCTGATTAAAAGTCATTAATGAAGATAATGAAGGAAGGGCTCAGCAAATGGGATTTAATTCCCGCTGGGAGGGATGGAGCTGCTCCGTCAGGATCCGAGATGAAAGGGAGCCGGCAGCTGGAATGTGCTGGGCAGGGATTCAGGGTGGTTTTGCAAAGCCAGGAGAGTTTCGTCACTTTGGGGAGTGATATGGGCTCATCCGACCCGGGCTCGGCGCCCCGGGGCATCCCAGGCTTTGTATAAAAGCAGAAGCTCTGCGGAGCTTTTCCATAATTCTCCTGCTTTTCTCCTCTCCATCAGGTAAGTCCGATGCCTTTTCATTCCTCTCCCAGCTCCAAAATGCCTTTGCTTGCTGATTTTTTATCCCAGTTGCTGTTTGCAACTATTACATTAATTTTCAGGGCTTTATTTTTCCTGTGTTCCTCTTTTTATCCTTTAAATTTTCATTTTTGCAGTATCCTGACAAGTATTTTACTGCAAGGCTTTAGGAGTCAAATCCATGCTAGGCATTTTTTATTCGGGATTTTTTTTCCCTGTTATTTGTATTTGGCTTGTATTCTTGGACGGACAGCAGAATGAAAATTCAGGATGGCACAAGGTTTAAAATGTTGAATTTTCCTGGATTTCAGTCCACGACTGAATCAGGGAAATTTGTCCATGTCCTGAGCTATCCAGCTGAAGAAAACATTCTATTTTAATTACAGTCATTTATATAAATAAAAATATAAAAATGTTTAGTTATTTTCACCACAGTCAAAAAGGAGAAGAGTAGACTTGTGTTCTGACCCAGTGAATAAAATAATATTTCTAATTTTTAATGGGAAAAAACATTAAACTGAAGGCTTTTATGCCCCGATATCCAGGTGGAAAAATGTTTTAAATCCATATTTTTATCTGATGACGGAATTGTGCTCCTTCCATCCCATCTCCATCCCACCTCAACTTCATCCCATCCCATCTCCATCCCATTTCCAATGCCGTCCCGTCTCCATCCCATTTCCATCCCATCCCATATCTCCAACTCCATCTCCATCTCCATCTCCATCTCCATCTCCATCTCCATCTCATCCCATCCTACTTCCATCTCCATCCCATTTCCATCTCCCATCCCATCCCAACCCCAAACCTGCTCCTATCCCACACCAATTTTTCCCCAGGAGATGTCTTCCCCCATTTCCCAGCTCCCCCGAACCCCCACCTACCCCTTCCACAGCTCCTCAGTTTTCAGCATCTCCTTCTCTGCCTTCCAGGACCCTCCACCCCAGCCAGGAAATGTCCTGCTACGACCTCTGCCCCACCACCGGCGGCATCTCCTGCCCACAGCCCGTGGCCAACAGCTGCAACGAGCCGTGCGTCCGGCAGTGTCCAGACTCCACTGCCCTCATCCAGCCGCCCCCGGTGGTGGTCACCTTCCCCGGCCCCATCCTCAGCTCCTTCCCGCAGCAGGCCGTGGTGGGATCTGCTGGAGCCCCAGTTTTTGGCGGCTCCCAGGGTTTTGGGAGTCTCTACGGCTCCGCGGCTTTCCCAGGATACGGCGCCCGCTCTGGATACGGGATCTCAGCGCTGGCCGGCGGCTCCTGCGGCCCATCCACGTCACGCCGCTTCAACCGCCTCTTCCGCAGCTCCTGCGGGCCCTGCTGAGGGCACCAGAGCCTCCAGGGAATCCCCGGAATGCCCAAATCCAAGGCCATGAGTGTGAGGGTTTGGCATTTCCGTGGCCCTCTTCACATTCCCAATCTTTCTCCTACTTCTTGTTCGGCACCTCCTCATTGTTTGCTCTCGCTGCCTGTTCTGGCATTCCCGATTTATCAGACTGGTGTGGGACAGCCCATTCCTGATTTATCA